AAAAGAAGGCATCTGATATCTTGTAAAACAAGAAAAAGGGTGAGAATTTTTCTCATCAAAATTGAAGTTGAGAAGCTCCCAAGGAATCTACATTGATCACGTTGAAGTGAATTATGTAAATAATTCACTTGAAGATTAAGAAGATAGAAATTAATTTCTAAATAAATCCAGGGCATTCAAGCTCAGTTTAGATTCTTCCTAAGTAAAGAGGACAAATAATAGAATATACATCCAAGACCACCATATCCAAGACTGAATCCCCTTTTGCAAAATCATTAGTTTTAAACCATATGTTGAGAGTGAAAGAGAAAACCAGAAAGCATGTGAGATGTTTTCAGATCTATAATTAGTAATTAATTTTGGAACAAAGAAAAAATACTGAAATTATTAAAAGGGGGGTGGAGAGAAGAACACAACCCACTAAAATATGCGAGGTAGCCCACGTAGTCACATGTACTGTTCAGAAAAGTGAATTTTGTCAAGAATTACTTTACGTATATTTCAAATCACTAAACAAAATAACTAACAAGACAATGAGGAAGGAATAAAATCTTACCATTTGTGCAACATACATATTTAGTCCATGTACTGAACTATGGAAATTTCCTGCAATCCTCTGGACATCTAAAACACCATAAACCTACAAGGGAATCAAATCTGAAGTCAGTTTCTTCCCCTTCAACAGGTAGACATGGTCCATGACATGATAAGTGGACTTCTTACCCAGCATCCTTCCCCATTTGCTATTGCTTCCTTCACCTTCTTCACTGTATTTTCGGTAGATCATCAAAACCCTGTAGATGAACCTTATTCTCACAATCCTCACGATGATCCTTTCCATGATCTGTTTCAAATGTGAGATATACACTTTTTATTATGGATAATGAAACTACGTCATAATTCAGCGAACGAGTTACCTCAGATGTGAACAAAAAAACTTTTAACATACTACTTCACACTAAGCAGAATGACAAAGATGTAAAGCATGGAATTATTCTTGGATGTCTTTTCCTGCCAACCATAAAATTAGTCATTTGCAATAGATTCCTCAAACATGCAACATAATTGTGGTTTTATTGATAGTTCTTCCAGTCATGGAACCTGAAGCCTACTCTTTCGCCCCTCTCTTCTGAACAAATTACAAGCTATTCATGATTGCACCAGATTTTGAAGACAGATTTGAGAAGAAATTCACCAAAACAGGGATCTAATCAGTTAAATCAGTATACCACTTTCAACATTCCCATTAGTAGTTGGACAAGAGATGGGTTGCTACAGAGAAAGTGTGCTGGAAAACCTTCACAATCAGCATAACTTACTTTACAGGGTTTGAGCTCCAACCACTTTTCCGGGGGAACCCCCACCTCCTGCATAGCTCTGATTTCATTCTCTTACAAATATTCTGTAAACTTTTTAAATACCTTTTGGCCACCAAAAAATAGAAGACTCGCCACTTTTATTTAATGGGTTTGCTTTCTCTCAATCAATACCTTCAATTCCATTGGACTACCAGGAACCAACAACAACAACAAAAATCGACTACCATGAGCCATGGATTTTAATAGATCTCAAAAGAAGTCTTAAAAACTAAGCAAACTAACATTATAGAAAATCATTACTGTTTTCTTCTTCTCTTCCTCCTAGCAACAATATTACAACTCTCTTTTTCTTTTTGGTGGCAAGAAAATTTGGGTTGGGAGGAGCCATGTCTTGCTTTCTAAAAGGATTATTACATCATAAATATTTAAATATAGAAAGCTATAAGCATTTTAATTTTTTTTTTATCAGTCTTGAGCAATTTGACCTTGTCTTATTCATCAAAGTGATGGTCCAGCATTTGAACCCTAGACAGATCAAATTACCAATGTTTCACCATGGAAACAAACTTTGCCAATATTTTGACTTTATCTTCAAATAATGAATTTATTTCAACATTCACCTCAACTTTGCTTCACTACTCTTAAGGCCCAAAATTTTAGAATTCCTTGAAATGTGGTCCCTAAATATTTTCATTTTAGTCCCGGGCCTTTTTTCTAATTTTAATCTAGAATAATGTAATTTTTAGTCCCTAAACTTTCTCTCGAGTATCAATTTAGTTCTTGAACTTTGACTTAATAGTTCTTCTTATTGAGTTAAAGAATCACAGGGACCAAGTGTGCCAAGTTAATAAACTATAAGGACTTAGTCATTTTGAATAGAGAAACTACAGGGACAAGGTTGTTCTGAGTCAGTGTGAGGGCTAAGGGCCGTTTGTTTAAAATTAAAAAAGAAGTGATTTTTAGATGATTTAGATATTTATTTTGTAGAAATTTTATAAAAAGCAGAAATTATTTTATGTTTGGTTACAATAATAAAAAGTGATTATTAATCAGTATTTTAAAATTTTATGATATTTTCTTGTGTCCTACTTTTTTAGAACATTTTCTCTCATCTACCACATCAAATTATTTTCAAAAGCCATTCAGAGTAACTTCTTATAATCAGATAACTGTTTTTTTCAGATTCTAAATATTTTCAAATGTTCAAACAAACATCATAAAAACTAACAAAATTGAAAACAAGTTGAAGCACATGGGCCCAAAATCAATAATTGAAAACAAGTTCAAGCACCAAAAAGTTATATTTTTCCTTTCAGTTATTCTAAATTTCTCCTAAATCTTCCCAAACAATTTAATAGATATATTTATTTGATGATTATGCTCCAATTGCTCAAGTTAACTAGATTTATTTTAATAGATATATTTATTTGATGATTATGCTCCAATTGCTCAAGTTAACTAGATTTATTTTATAGTTAAGCTCATCATCATCTGATTTTTCTTTGTGGAAATATTTTCGCTTCAAAACATGCAAACTGCTGGATGAAACATGTGGCAAGTTGTCACCAATTAAAATTTTGTGGCCTTTGTGATTACTATTCAATTGAAAGTTAACTAAATTAAATGTTGCTTGATGTCCCAAAGGATCCAAAACCACTGGACTCCAAAGTGGAAACCAACCACAGTGGCATCCAACGAAAGGGAAGGCTGACCTGGAGTACCCAAAATGTCTAGATCATCACAAACAAAAACTTTAAAGGGAGAATGCTGACAGGTTTCCAGGTCTAACTTCTTTTATCTGAGTTGGTGTTTTTCTCTGTCCATTCATCATATTTCAGTTTTTACTCTAAAATAAACCATGTGGCCTGTACGTTACATGGAGTCAAAGTTGAGCTGCATCGTTTATGGTTTATGAATAGTCCAACTTCTTATAAATTTTATATTATATATAAATATAAATAAGTGATATGGATTTTACATCAATAAACACTTAACTATGTGCAGTTTATTACATCAAAAGTGATTAATTAGGCAGGAAAGCAGTAAGAACCAGCAGAATCAAGAAAACATTCCTCCCACCGTATACAGTGTGTTTGGAAAACATGGTTACAAACCTCGGTTTGGAAAACATGGTTCCAAACCTTGATTTTTTGCTTCTACGCAAACATGGTTTTGCGGTGTTCTCACTACAAATCCAAACTCGCCCTACAAAAAATGTATCAAATAGGTAACTCTGGAAGAAAATGAACCCTCGCATCAGCCCTTTCTCTTCAGACATCTATGATTAGCTATTTAAACAAAAATAGCAAATGCTTTTCGGAGAAGCATAAGCCTTTACTGTCTTTGCATATTTTCAGTATCAGTAATCTGATAGTGATAGCCCAAAATTGAATACAACAAAGAAGCAATTTTTGACAAGATTTGAAAACCATTTACATGAATAAAGAAATAACAAATTACCATGCTTGTAATCTGCATGCTTCTTCTCCACAAGGTCTGATAAATATTCAGTGCCAATTATATGGCCATAACTGTTCAGGCGAAGCTGCAGCAACTCCAAACTAGTTAGTGCAATGGTAAGAAAAAAGATGTTTGGGAAAAAAGATGGTAAAAGAATAAAAACGGAGGATAAGAAATCCTAGTAAGACAACCGCAAAACAAAGAAAAGAAGACAAGTAAAAAAAAAAAAAAAACAAAGTTTAACAAGATTCCAGTCCTGCTATAATTCATGTAAAGAAACAGAAACCCAAAGCATAAGTAATGATTACATGAGTATACTCAACAAATAACAGTGTTTGTTCATTCTAAAACCGGTCACAGTAACAAAGTTCATAGCCAACAGCAGGTGGCTAGATAGTTCTTTCTCAATTGTTAACATTATGTAAACAGCTAACCTATGAAGCATAGGCCTGCAGCAAGCAAGGACAAAAGGAGTAGGGGAGTAATTTAAGCATGGTGAAATACATAGCCCATATGCATCAGTTTCCAAATCATCAGTTTTTCTCCCTCACCTTCATTAATCCTCTATTTTCGCATTTTCTCTCCCTAAAGTTCAGTCTTGCCTTTCCTTGCATTATCATCAATTTGTTCTTCACTTCTCCAGTCCATTGACGGTTCATAGTGCCTTCTTTCTAAATATCTCACTCTATCAAAATTTTCTCTCTCTATAATGGTCGCTAACTTCTTGTTTTGTTGAAGGGATATGGTGTCTTGGCAAGCTGGTTAATAGGCACATCAATGGACTTTGACTGATTAGGCATTTTGTAGTAGACCACAACATATTTTAAATTATATAATATTTGGAGTCAATGTTCACCCAAAAGAAGAAGAAAAAGGGGACATTGCTTGTTTCATGCTAGTGATAATCAGTATAGTTTTTCTTTAAAGGGCCAGGATAATGCATATAGCTGAATCAATCATATTCAAGTCATAATTGGATACTAAATGTGAGTATCTCTCCCAGACACTTAGTGGGGATTCAAATTTTGGTTCACCACATTGTACAGAACTTCACTAGACCCCTTTCACTAAACCAAGTTGATGTAACACACACTCACATACACTCACACAGATCTGAATAGAGGGAGAGAGTAGAGAGAAACTAGAAATAGGGAGGGAGAAATGAAGAACAGAACAATGAGGGAGCAAGGGAGAGGGAGACAGAACGTAGAGAGAGGGGGAGAACTTCTGAATATGCAATCACAATATTTCATTCATCAAGTCTATCCATTACAAGTGCAATCAAATCTATTTAACAAAACCCTCATGCCTAAATAAGGAAGCCTTAATCACATCTACATATAAAGCTAACTTTCATATTTCCTCTTACAAAAGAACACAAAAGGAAACCTTAACACCTTGTCCATATAAAGTTACGCTTTATATTTTCCTTCTTACAAAATATTAAAATAACATAAAGAGAATTTATTTTTTTCTAGAATAATGTCTCCCATATTTCCTATCAATTCCCCCTTGCTGTAAAGAACGCTCCTCCGGAGAGATAGAAAGTTGATAGGCTTCCAGCAGTGCAGGATCAAGTTGTCTAAACTTAGCTTCTGAGATCCAAGTGGCATTTTTATTTGAACAACCCTTCTAGCGAACAAGTAATGATAGAGGGGCCCCTCAAAAGTTAGGACAATTTAGTCATCCATAATGGTTTCAATCTCTTTCATTGATGGTGAGATAGACGGCAACGGTGGGATCAGCACTTGCGAGGGCTGAGTACCTGCAAAATCATCAGAAAGCAATGGGGGAGGCTCAAAACCCTGGTAAGGCGAAAGATCCTCCACATTAAAAACCAAACTTATGGCCATATCAGGAGGTAATTCTAAAAGATAGGCATTAGATCCTAACTTCTTTACTATCCGAAAAGGTCCAGAAACTCGAGCATGCAACTTTTTAAAAGCATATTTAGGATAACGTTCTAGACAAATTTAAGCCATAATATAGTCACCTATATTAAAGGTTCGAAATCGACGATAAGTATTAGCAGATAATTTGTATTGATCATTACTCATTGCTAATGTTCACCTAATTTCAGCATGTAATTCATGAAGGCGATGGGCAAAAGATTTTGCAAATTCAGAAGTACGAAATGTCAACGGGATTGGCATAAGATCAATAGGCTATTTAGGATTAAAACCTTGAACAATTTGGAAGGGACTCATGCCTATGGACCTATTCACCGAATTATTATATGCAAACTCGACAATGGGTAGAAGCAAATCCCAATGCTTCGACTTGTCGCCGACTAAACTTCTAAGCAAATTACCCAGACTTTGATTAGTAACTTCAGTTCGCCCATCTGTCTGGGGGGTGGAAAGCAAAAGAAAACTTCAACTGGGTACTAAAAAGTTTCCATAGGGTTTTCCAAAAGTAACTAACAAACTTAACATCCCTATCGGATACAATGGTAGTAGGTAACCCATGCAGACACACAATCTCCTTATAGAACAATTTTGCGAGATGAGAAGCATCTATGGTCTTGCTGCAGGGAATAAAATGGGCCATCTTGGAAAATCTATCTACAACCACCAACACAGAATCGTGACCTTTAGCTATTCGAGGCAATCCCAAGACAAAGTCCATACTCAAGTCTTTCCAAGGTGCCTCGGGGATTGGCAAAGGAGTGTACCAACCGATATTCTGTCTTCTAGCTTTAAAAGTTTGACAATTTCAACATTGAAACACTATGTGAGCCATATCACGCTTGAGCTAAGGCTAATAGAACCTGTCTTCAACTAACGCCACAGTTTTATTGATCCCAAAATGACTAGCTAAACCTCCAACATGTAATTCCCGAACAAGAAAATCTCGCATAGAAGTTCATGGGATGCACAATTTGCTTCCGCAAAAAAGATGACCGTCTTTAAGGAGGAAATCAACATGATCATGACGGTTATCACTGTTAACTTCGTGGTATATTATCCCAAAATCTGGACATGAAGCATAGTCTTCCTTCAAGTTTTCAAAACTAACAACACTAATACTCATAGTGTGCAACAAGTTGATCCATCGGCTAAGAGCATCAGCCATTTTGTTTTCTATTCTTGAACGATGCTTGACCACAAAAGTGAATCCCTGAATATACTCAACCCATTTAGCATGTTTAGCATAAGTGTCGCTGAGAGTTGATAAACCTAAGCACTTGATGATTAGAGTAAAGAACAAATTGTTGAGGAAGGAGATAGTATTTCCAATGCTCAAAAGATCTCACAATTGCATAAAACTCCTTGTCATAGATGGAGTATTTTTGTTTTGCATCGTTGAGCTTTTCGCTAAAGAAAGCCACAAGGTGACCTTCTTGGCTTAGAACACCTCCGATTCTTGTCCCAGATGCATCACAAGCAACTTCGAAACACTTCATAAAATCTGGCAAAGACAGGACTGGAGCTTCATAAAGCTTCGTCTTAATATCCTGAAAAGCTAAGGATGCTGTAGAAGTCCACTGGAACTTGTCTTGTTTCAAGCAATCAATGATAGGAGCTATAATAGTACTGAAGTTTCTACTGAAGCGTCTATAGAAAGAAGCAAGGCCATGAAAACTTCGTACTTCATGGAGAGATTGTGGCTCAGGCCATTCTTGAATAGCTTGGACTTTCTCAAGGTCAGCAGCTAAACCCCTTTCAGAAACAATGAAACCTAGGAAGATGACTTGATTATGAAGAAATGAGCACTTGGGCAAGTTAACATAAAACTGTTCTTGACGCAGGGTGAGAAAAATTAACTCAAGATGTTCCAAGTGTTCTTCTTTAGACTTGCTAAAGACTAGTATGTCATCAAAGTATACCACTAAGAATTTTCCCAAGTATGAGTGAAGGAGGTGAGTCATTACTCTCATGAATGTACTTGGGGCATTTGATAACCCAAATGGCATGACAAGCCATTCAAACAACCCATCTTGTGTTTTAAAGGTAGTCTTCCACTCATCTCCAAGTCTAATCCTAATCTGATAATAACTACTCCGAAGGTCAATCTTCGAGAACCAACTAAATCCGGATACCAAATCAAGCATGTCATCAAGTCTAGGAATAGGAAACCTATACCTGATGGTAATCTTGTTGATGGCTCTACTGTCTACACACATTCTCCAAGAGCCGTCTTTCTTGGGAGTCCAAAAAGCAGGTATTGCACAAGGACTCATGCTATGTTGGATATAACCTTTCTCTAGTAAACCATTAACTTGTCGGTTAAGCTCTTCCCTATCTTTTGGATTCATCCGGTAGTGTGGTACGTTGGGGAGTTGTGAACCCAGAGTAAAATCAATTGCATGTTGGATATCCCTTGTTGGCGGTAGCTCAGATGGAAGCTCATCCGGGGCGATGTCTTGAAATTTGTTTGAGAGCTGCTACACTTCCCTAGGCATTTTTGTAGTTGTAACCAAAGCAATTCGTTGCGAGATCTTAGACACCAGAACAAACATAAGTGTATTGTCTTTGCTTTCCCGCACAAACTGTTTCCTTGTCAGAAGGTGCAAACTTTGGCTTTTGGGCTTCATACCTTTTAAATTACTCAGATGCTAACATCAGTGTCAGGCTTAGTAAGGCGTAGCAAGATTGTCTTGCCATTATGCTTAAATGTATATGTATTCTCCCGACCATAGTTGATGACATTGTGATCATAAAGCCACAATCGACCTAGCAGAATGTGAGCAACGTCCATCGGGAGAACATCACAAAGAACCTCTTCTTTATAGTCACCTAGTTGCAGAGGAATGCGACATTGTTGAGTGACTGGTAAAGAAGTTTTGTCAACCCACGCAACTCGAAAAGGTTTTGGATGAGGTTCTATCTTGAGACCGAGCCTGACTACTCCTTGACTAGAAATCACATTTCTAGAGCTCCCACCATCAATCACTAACTTGCAAGATTTGCCTCCACACTTCACAAAGGTATGGAAGATACTAGTTCGCTTCTATGAATCACTAGGTAGAAGGACTGACAAAATGCATCGTATAACTCCAACTCGACGTGTCTCACACCCATGTTCAGCAATGATGATGTCCTCGTCAACATCTGAAGGACACTCAACTAGTTCCACAATTTGTCGGCATTGTGTGGCACTTTGAGAGGGAAAATACCATTTTCATTGATACAAAAATATGAGTTACAACCAGCATATATACACAAAGCTGAGAGACAAAATAATAAATACTAATAACTCCTAATAATCAACAATAATCCCTAATAATTAGGGTAGAATATTTACAATAAATTCAGTACCACCACACTCCCCCTCAAGTTGGATCATAGATGCTAATCATGTCCAACTTGCTTATACAACTTTCAAAGGCAGGCTTATGAAACCCCTTAGTTAGAACATCCGTAGCTTGAAGATTGATAGGCAAATAAGTCAAACATATGATTCCCTCTTCTACTTTTTCTCTAATGAAATGCCTATCCACTTTCACATGTTTAGATTTCTCATGTTGAACAGGATTTAGGGCCATGCTTATAGCTGCCTTATTATCACAATGGAGTTTTAGTGGTAAGTCCACCTTGACATGTATCTCTTCTAAGACTCATTTCAGCCACAACTCCTCCATTATTCCTTGAGCTAATGCTCGTAATTCAGACTCGACACTACTTTTAGAGACAACTCTTTGCTTTTGACTCTTCCAAATAACGAGATTTCCCTACACGAAGGAGCAACAAGTAGAAGTTGATCTTCTATTAGGATTTTTATTGGAGGAGACTTTAATGGGTATGTCGGGAGGGAAGCTAGTCAGTATGCGAGGGTGCATGGTGGTTTTGGTTTTGGAGAGCTAAACAATGAAGGACAAACTCTTCTTGATTTCTCATTGACGTATGATTTTAAGATTGCCAACACTTGTTTCAAGAAGAGAGATGAGCATCTCATCACTTACAAAAGTGGAGCCTCAAGGTCACAGATTGATTTTCTTTTGGTTAGGAACACAGATAGAAGACTTTGTAAAAATTGCAAGGTGATCCCCGGAGATGCTGTAACGACACAACATAGGGTCCTAATCTTTGATGTGTGTATTATGAGTAAAATCCAAAAACGTCGACAAGTAGTAGCACCAAGGATTAGGTGGTGGCAATTAAAAGGTGAGAAGCAAGATATTTTCAAGCGAAATCTTTTGGATAAAGGAATTTGAGAATCTCAGGGAAGTGCTAACATCATATGGGAGGATATGGCTAAAAAGATACAAGAGGTTGCAAAAGTAGCTTTGGGAGAATCAAAAGGTTCTGATCCGAGAGATAAGGAGTCTTGGTGGTGGAATAATAGTGTACAGGATAAAATCAAGTATAAGAAGAACTGTTTTAAAGCCATACATTTGTGTAACAATGAGGAAAATTGGGAGAGGTACCGTATGGCTAAAAAGGAAACTAAGAGAGCTGTGGGTGAAGCTCGTTCTAAAGCTTTTGAAGAATTTTATAAGAGCCTTGAGACGAAGGAAGGAGAGCAAAATATTTATAAGATTGCCAAGAGTAGGAAAAGAAAATCAAGAGATCTAGAACAGGTAAGGTGTATTAAGGATGAAGAAGGAAGAATTTTAGTTACAGATGATGAAATTAAAAATAAATAGGAGACTTACTTTTCAAACTTTTCAATGATAGAGAAGGTTCATCTAGTAACTTGGAGGATTTAGTAACTGGTGAAGGAGAACAAAATTTGTCATTCTATCGAAAAATACGTGATAAGGAGGTAAATGAAGCTCTTAAGAAAATGGCAAATGGTAGAGCCAACGAACTTGATTGTATA